CTAAATCTATAGTCAAAAATAAAAGAATAGTCAATGATAAAAATAAAATATATGTTTTTGAAAAATGAAATATTTGCATTTTAGATTATATATAATATATATATAGGAGTGAAAATATAAAAATAATATATATATCAATTTATTCCGCGTAATATATTACCACAAAATTAATTTATTATTTTATAGAAAGGAAACAAAATATTTGTATACGCGGTATTACAAAGGATAAAAACACATGGATGACAAAATATGGAGAAATAAAATATTGGCAGTTCCGCAATCAATTCTCTATTAAAATAAATTGATAAAAAAATCCACTGGTTTTATGGTCAAAACTAATAGATTATTGAATATTCATTGATCTTTTCTTAACATATTTTCCTTTATAGTTGAATGAATGTAGTGATTTGAATATATTGATTTTTTTTATAGTTTAACGTATTATATATATGTTATTTATTGTTCAATTTTTAATAATATATTCAATTTATATATTTTTAAAATAGGTAAATAAATTTATATCGATGTTGGAAATTGAAGAAAATATTTTTAAAAACTTAACTTTAAATCTTGCAAATTATAATAAATTAGAAACGAAACCTTTTGTGGAGTTCTTGATTAAATCTTTAAAATAAATATTAAATTAAACATTTAAAATTTAAATATATATATTCTGTGAATAATTAATCTGTTATATATTTTTGACCAATTGATATGTACGTGTGTGCTATTGTTTTACATATTTTATCTATTCTATTTACGAATGAACCAAGCCCAGGTTTTACCCAAAGGAATTTTTATCTAATATATTTTATAATATTTTGATGCTTTAAGTTATATATATAATATTCGTTAATATTATATATATGTGTGCTAAAAGAAGCATCTCTCCTTTTAAATATGCATTAGAATAAACCTATTACTTTTATTATCCAAGTAAAATTATTTACTAAATAATTCTTATATATATCATCATTATATATATGTTATGAATATTTTGTTGTTGTTGATAGATAAAGGATTGATAAGACAAAGGATTGATAAGATAAAGGGTTGAGGTGCAGTCGTGATAAAAAAAAAAGATAATTATTTACCGTCAAGTAGCTTTTATTTTCAATTACTTGAGGAAATATTACATATTAGTTATTTTCACATTATATAGAATTTATAAAGTTAATCCTATACTGAAATCCTATACTAAAACTGAAAGTCTTTCTAAAAACGATGATAACAAAAGTAAAATTATCAATGAATAAAATAAAATATATATTTTTTTAAATATATAAATATTTGAGTTTTTAGATTATAATATATATATATATATATATTGAAAATAGAGCAATCCATAAATAAATCTTTAATTAAAAAAGGTATATATTGGACAAACATTAAAATGTTATAATACCTTGATAAAGGTTGGCGTTCAACCAACTGAAATATTTGTAAAATAAATTATATTTTGATCCAATATATGCCTTTTTTCAATTAAATATATATATAAATTTATTTATTTATAAATATATGTATTTATTACCTTGAATCTTCTGTGTTCAGCTCGAGTGAATGTTTCCCCAAAAGAATAATTTTTTCTTCCCATCAAAATGATGCAGTATTATCATCATCATTTCTCGACCAAAAAAAAGGTAAACTTGTTACTATGATTCATTTGAATTTTCCTTGTATTAAAATATGACAAAGACAACTTCAAGAACTCTATATACTGTTATAACTGAAGCCTGATTGTTTAAATATTAAGAAAATGTATAAGGAACAAATTAATAAATATACATGCATTAGATTTTATATTTAGCGAATGTACATGGTTTTGCCTGGTTTTTACCCAAGTGAAAGTTTGTCTAACTAACATGCGTTAAACGATATTTTCGTGGCAAACATCCACTCTGTCCTGAATATATTCTTGTCAAAATAAAGTGACGTTTGTTATTCTTCTCCTCACAAACTACTGAATAAACCATTGGGAAATTTTGCATATAGGAACCTGAATATATCCATTAATATATAAGCTATTCAAAGAATAAAATTATACAATAACAAACCATTTATCCTATTTTGAAAATATATAAAGTTATAAATGATGCACTAGCGCGCCATCTGTTAACAAAATTCGGAACTATTTTAAACGCGTAAGATTATTTTTGAAATTAAACAATTTCTACTGCAATACTTTCTACTTTTCCATTGCAGTAAGGGCAGTAGAAATTGTTTAATTTCCAAAAGAATCTTACGCGTTTAAAATAGTTTCGAATTTTGATATAAAGTTATAATAATTATATTTGCTAACTCTAAATAGCTATATGAGCGTGGTCAGGATATGTCTATTTTTTTAAATAATTATATTTTATATAAGGACTCTGAATCACTCAGCTTGGACCGGCTTCTACCCTAGTAAAAGTTTGTTATGCGAATTTTATTTCCCAATAATTATAATAATAATATATATAATAATAATAATATAGAATTTTATATGTTAATTCTGTAATTATTCTTATTTTTTTAATTCATAGAAGCATTTTTCTGGCAGACATATTCAATTTTTTTTATCATCATCCTTTTTGATTTTTTTTTTCAGTTAGCTAGTTATCGAATCATTTGCAATTGTAGTTTCTTTTTTGTTTTGTTGTGTTCCTTTTTAAGCAATAAAATATATAGAACTAAGGTGTAATATTCAATTCAAGCATATGGAACCAACATCGATTCATTTTAAAAACAAAGCAAAATCATAAGTGATGTAAAGTTACTTCGGCTGGTAAATCTTTTTTATCTCGACGTTTGGACATAAATCTTTTGTCCTCGTTCGAAGTAAATAGATAATAAAACATTTACTGGCCGAATACTTCAATTTGAAGAACTATGAATGCCGGCCAGGCAACCCCTATCTTTACGATAATAATATAATTATTACTATAATTGGTAGTTATGATGATATAATTAATTGCCTAACTATTACTATTATTATCATTTTATGTTTAATTTTCAAATTTTTATTTTCAAATATTTTCAATTTGAAGTAATATAAAATATACAAATAAATAATATTTGTTAAGGCGTTTATTAGACAAAATTCACTCCGATATAACCCAGGCGAAGCCGGGACATATTATAAAATAGTAAAAATTTTATTTGATTTTAATATCATCATTTTGTTTTAAAAATGTTATTCGAGTATAAATCTTCGGTATTTCGGATAGTTAAGAATAAAATTTCTATAAACATATAAATAGTTAACATTTGTTAAAATAGAATATTTGTGCAAACATTCACTTCATCAGAACCTAGACATATTTTTCGATATTTTCAAAGCTATGATGAATTTTGATGATAATCCGTTGATTCTATCATCATTATCTTTATTATCTATGAGAAATTAGATTTTTTTACTTTTCAGAAAATAAATAACTAAACTACGGCATAAATTCTTCTAAATATAAATTTATCTTAGCTACAATTCTCTACCAAAGCTTCGGAAAAAATAATTGAGAATTTGTTGAGTTGAATGTATAGAATAACATAAAAACCATTCATTGCCTAAATTTAGCATATTTTGGAGTTATAAAGTGTTGGCCAATTATCTATTAAAAGATTATTCGTGTACGGCTTATATTATATTCACTCATGGACAAAACTTGAGGAAGTTGTACCTTTTAGCATGTACATCGGGATTCAGACAATAACTCTGAAAGATACACGGACAAAACTCAAGGAAGTTGTACCTACAAGCATGTATATCGGGATTCAGACAATAACTCTGAAAGATACACTCATGGACAAAACTTAAGGAAGTTGTACCTTTTACCATGTATATCGGGATTCAAACAATAACTCTGAAAGATACACTCATGGACAAAACTTAAGGAAGTTGTACCTTTCAGCATGTATATCGGTATTCAGACAATAACTCTGAAAGATACACTCATGGACAAAACTTAAGGAAGTTGTACCTTTTAGCATGTATATCGGGATTCAGACAATAACTCTGAAAGATACACTCATGGACAAAACTTAAGGAAGTTGTACCTTTTAGCATGTATATCGGGATTCAGACAATAACTCTGAAAGTTACTACAGTGACCTTTATTGAAGACACACGAGATAACCAAGTGTGAACATAATTCTCTCTGTTTCTTTCAAAAAATATATATAGACGACTGGAGATACCAAACTATGAAACTTCTTTAAGTTTTGTCCATGAGTATATCTTTCAGAGTTATTGTCTCAATCCCGATATACATGGTAAAAGGTACAACTTCCATAAGTTTTGTTCATAAGTGTATCTTTCAGAGTTATTGTCGAATCCCGATATACATGCTAAAAGGTACAACTTCCTTAAGTTTTGTCCATGAGTGTATCTTTCAGAGTTATTGTCTGAATCCCGATATACATGGTAAAAGGTACAACTTCTTTAAGTTTTGTCCATGAGTATATCTTTCAGAGTTATTGTCTCAATCCCGATATACATGCTAAAAGGTACAACTTCCATAAGTTTTGTTCATAAGTGTATCTTTCAGAGTTATTGTCGAATCCCGATATACATGCTAAAAGGTACAACTTCCTTAAGTTTTGTCCATGAGTGTATCTTTCAGAGTTATTGTCTGAATCCCGATATACATGCTGAAAGTTACAACTTCCTTAAGTTTTGTCCATAAGTGTATCTTTCAGAGTTATTGTCTGAATCCCGATATACATGCTGAAAGGTACAACCTCCTTATGTTTATTTCATTTATTAAAAGTTTAAGAGAAATTCATATCTTGTTCGTACAACAAAAAGTTAATTCCTCAACCTGATCCATGTACAATTTCACTTTTGTGCTATTTTTTCATTAAAAAGTTTCTCATTGTGACATATGAAAACAACACTTCCACACACTTTCCCAATATCTCAAATATCATATCTACTTATATAATTGCCTTATTCTGTCTGTGTGAAGTTCACTGTGTGAAGTTCACGGATATATTTTGGTCAGAATGGATAAAATAAAAAAAGTGTCAAGGGATGGGAAACGAACCCACGACCTTCCGCTTACCGGGCAGATGCCATGACCACTAGGCCACATGACCACAATTTATAATTGTAACAAATAGTATTTGAATAAAAACATTCAATCGGGTAAAACACGGGCGTTGCCTGGGTCATTCGGCTAGTATTAAATATCTAAACCTTTTTTAAAAAATTATTTCCGAAGATAATTTGCTGGTTGTAAGTAGATTCAGAAAAAAATATAACCATATCAACTAAGGATTTATTTAACTCTCTCGGGGGAATTAAAATTATTATTACAAATTTTAAGGATAGGTATTACAATATAAATTCTAACTTTAAACACTATTTAGCAATCCTTTTAATTACAATGCACTAGTGCGCCATCTGTTATGAAAATTAGAAACTATTTTAGACGCGTAATTTTGAAATTAAACAATTTCTACTGCCCTTACTGCAAAGAATAAATTAATGGGAGGGTTCACCACTGATGAGCCAGGCCCTCCCATTAATTTTTCCTTTGCAGTAAGGGCAATAGAAATTGTTTAATTTCAAAAAAGAATCTTACGCGTCTAAAATAGTTTCTAATTTTGAATCCTTTTAATGCTTAAAATATTTCTCTATATTATATAGTATTTTTAAAAGAGAAAAGTAAAATTTATTTCGAAAATGAATAATTTAATTATTAGAGAAAAATAGTGAATACGAAAAAAATGTAATTTGTTACTTAGAAAAGCAAATATAAATTTATTTTTTGAATCATTGATTTTTTTTATCACAGCAGCCATTTCTCTTGACAAGAATAAAGAAAGAAAAAAAAAACATTATTCAATATATCTCTAAAATTCGATCCCTATACCCCCTTTAGCTAAGAAACAATTCCCCCCATCTAGATTTGCTGAACGGACAAAATTCTCCGAGAGGCGCTAAATTTTAAACTCTGTCGAGGAATTCATTGATCAGAATAAATAATTTGCCATTAACCGCACAGAATTTCCAACCCCGAAAAAAAAAAGTTATATGGCCCCCCTACTTTAAAATTTTTATATCTTTTTTTATTCTTCATCTGATACGAGGTTTGCAAACTTATGGAATATATCACAAATCTTACCTATAAATAAATATTATTTTAAAAATAAGTAGCGCTCATAGATAAATCGCTTGGCAACGTTGCCTTCAAATCGTTTAACAATGAATTTTTATTGTTTTAAAAAAAATCTTTTGATACATTAGCATGAACGTATTTTAGATAAATATAACTTAGGGAAATGTTCCTTTTTACATATTTATACGTATTACACTTATCTACATATATAAAAGTTGCATATAAAATCGTTTTTAAAGAAATATTTTCAAAATTGATTTTTTTTTTTTGGCAGAAAAATAAATTGTTTTGAAGCTGAATTTATTTTTGTTGCAATTTTTTTTAAATACGAGAATATAGCTCCAAAAATAACCGGAATTTCTTTGTAAAAAAAAGCATGTTAAAAAAAGCATTATAAAAGCATGTACTTTTTTGAATATAGATTTAATTTCCTTCAAAGTATTGTCCATTACCATTAATACATTTCTCTAGACGTTTATTCTGGTATTGGAAGCATCTTTTGATATTGTCTGTTTCTATACTAGGTAGCACCATCGTGACATGGCAGTTTTTCAGCGTTAACATCGTCAAAACTCTTTTCTCACAAGTGTTTTTTATACTATCAAACAGAAAACAACATCAAAAAGCCTTTATTAAGGAAATTCGTCCCATACAGGATTCTCCCAGATAGATAAACAGAAGTAAACATAACATCAATCTTTCCTCAAGTTGGGTCTGTGTTACGTACATACAACAACAACAACAAATCCTTTATTAAAGACACTCGTCCCATACAGGATTCTCCCAGATAGGTAAACAGAAGTAAACATAACATCAATCTTTCCTCAAGTTGGGTCTGTGTTACGTACATACAACAACAACAAAGTCTTTATTAAGGACACTTGTCCCATACAGGATTCTCCCAGATAGATAAACAGAAGTAAACATAACATCAATCTTTCCTCAAGTTGGGTCTGTGTTACGTACATACAACAACAACAAATCCTTTATTAAAGACACTCGTCCCATACAGGATTCTCCCAGATAGATAAACAGAAGTAAACATAACATCAATCTTTCCTCAAGTTGGGTCTGTGTTACGTACATACAACAACAACAAAGTCTTTATTAAGGATACTCGTCCCATACAGGATTCTCCCAGATAGGTAAACAGAGGTAAACATAACATCAATCTTTCCTCAAGTTGGGTCTGTGTTATGTACATACAACAACAACAAAGTCTTTATTAAGGATACTCGTCCCATACAGGATTCTCCCAGATAGGTAAACAGAAGTAAACATAACATCAATCTTTCCTCAAGTTGGGTCTGTGTTACGTACATACAACAACAAAGTCTTTATTAAGGACAATCGTCCCATACAGGATTCTCCCAGATAGGTAAACAGAAGTAAACATAACATCAATCTTTCCTCAAGTTGGGTCTGTGTTACGTACATACAACAACAACAAAGTCTTTATTAAGGACAATCGTCCCATACAGAATTCTCCCAGATAGGTAAACAGAAGTAAACATAACATCAATCTTTCCTCAAGTTGGGTCTGTGTTACGTACATACAACAACAACAAAGTATTTATTAAGGACACTCGTCCCATACAGGATTCTCCCAGATAGGTAAACAGAAGTAAACATAACATCAATCTTTCCTCAAGTTGGGTCTGTGTTACGTACATACAACAACAACAAAGTCTTTATTAAGGACACTCGTCCCATACAGGGTTCTCCCAGATAGGTAAACAGAAGTAAACATAACATCAATCTTTCCTCAAGTTGGGTCTGTGTTACGTACATACAACAACAACAAAGTCTTTATTAAGGATACTCGTCCCATACAGGATTCTCCCAGATAGGTAAACAGAAGTAAACATAACATCAATCTTTCCTCAAGTTGGGTCTGTGTTATGTACATACAACAACAACAAGCCTTTATTAAGGACACTCGTCCCATACAGGATTCTCCCAGATAGGTAAACAGAAGTAAACATAACATCAATCTTTCCTCAAGTTGGGTCTGTGTTACGTACATACAACAACAACAAGCCTTTATTAAGGACACTCGTCCCATACAGGATTCTCCCAGATAGGTAAACAGAAGTAAACATAACATCAATCTTTCCTCAAGTTGGGTCTGTGTTACGTACATACAACAACAACAAAGTCTTTATTAAGGACAATCGTCCCATACAGGATTCTCCCAGATAGGTAAACAGAAGTAAACATAACATCAATCTTTCCTCAAGTTGGGTCTGTGTTACGTACATACAACAACAACAAAGTCTTTATTAAGGACAATCGTCCCATACAGGATTCTCCCAGATAGGTAAACAGAAGTAAACATAACATCAATCTTTCCTCAAGTTGGGTCTGTGTTACGTACATACAACAACAACAAAGTCTTTATTAAGGACAATCGTCCCATACTGGATTCTCCCAGATAGGTAAACAGAAGTAAACATAACATCAATCTTTCCTCAAGTTGGGTCTGTGTTACGTACATACAACAACAACAAAGTCTTTATTAAGGACAATCGTCCCATACTGGATTCTCCCAGATAGGTAAACAGAAGTAAACATAACATCAATCTTTCCTCAAGTTGGGTCTGTGTTACGTACATACAACAACAACAAAGTCTTTATTAAGGACAATCGTCCCATACAGGATTCTCCCAGATAGGTAAACAGAAGTAAACATAACATCAATCTTTCCTCAAGTTGGGTCTGTGTTAAGTACATACAACAACAACAAAGTCTTTATTAAGGACAATCGTCCCATACAAGATTCTCCCAGGTAGGTAAACAGAAGTAAACATAACATCAATCTTTCCTCAAGTTGGGTCTGTGTTACGTACATACAACAACAACAAAGTCTTTATTAAGGACAATCGTCCCATACAGGATTCTCCCAGATAGGTAAACAGAAGTAAACATAACATCAATCTTTCCTCAAGTTGGGTCTGTGTTACGTACATACAACAACAACAAAGTCTTTATTAAGGACAATCGTCCCATACAGAATTCTCCCAGATAGGTAAACAGAAGTAAACATAACATCAATCTTTCCTCAAGTTGGGTCTGTGTTACGTACATACAACAACAACAAAGTATTTATTAAGGACACTCGTCCCATACAGGATTCTCCCAGATAGGTAAACAGAAGTAAACATAACATCAATCTTTCCTCAAGTTGGGTCTGTGTTACGTACATACAACAACAACAAAGTCTTTATTAAGGACACTCGTCCCATACAGGGTTCTCCCAGATAGGTAAACAGAAGTAAACATAACATCAATCTTTCCTCAAGTTGGGTCTGTGTTACGTACATACAACAACAACAAAGTCTTTATTAAGGATACTCGTCCCATACAGGATTCTCCCAGATAGGTAAACAGAAGTAAACATAACATCAATCTTTCCTCAAGTTGGGTCTGTGTTATGTACATACAACAACAACAAGCCTTTATTAAGGACACTCGTCCCATACAGGATTCTCCCAGATAGGTAAACAGAAGTAAACATAACATCAATCTTTCCTCAAGTTGGGTCTGTGTTACGTACATACAACAACAACAAGCCTTTATTAAGGACACTCGTCCCATACAGGATTCTCCCAGATAGGTAAACAGAAGTAAACATAACATCAATCTTTCCTCAAGTTGGGTCTGTGTTACGTACATACAACAACAACAAAGTCTTTATTAAGGACAATCGTCCCATACAGGATTCTCCCAGATAGGTAAACAGAAGTAAACATAACATCAATCTTTCCTCAAGTTGGGTCTGTGTTACGTACATACAACAACAACAAAGTCTTTATTAAGGACAATCGTCCCATACAGGATTCTCCCAGATAGGTAAACAGAAGTAAACATAACATCAATCTTTCCTCAAGTTGGGTCTGTGTTACGTACATACAACAACAACAAAGTCTTTATTAAGGACAATCGTCCCATACTGGATTCTCCCAGATAGGTAAA